TGTGTCCCCATCCCTGTAAACCAGGGGAGTGACACCAACAAGCCAGCGCACCGACGTCCCCACCCCCGCCCCGACGCGGCCGCTCCGCTGTCTTCGTCCGCCTCCCGGGGGACGTCTTCTGTTCAGCAGTGACTGGGTGGCATCTCTGAGATCTTCCTTCACCGGCCCGTTCACGATGTGCAGTGTCAGGCACGGCCACCGGCCGCGTCCGGCTGTTTCCAGCGTGGCGCACGCAGAAGGCTGGCATTTCCCTGGGTCTGGCGCCCAGTCTCCGTGCTCCCAGAAGCCTCTGCCCCGGCGGTTCTAACCAGAGGTGGCTCCAGGAGCCCCCTGGGGCAGCTGTGTTCCCCCTAGGGCTGCGGCCACCACGGTGGGGGGGGGGGGGGCCGGCCCTCAGGCCACCGGCTCCAGCCATTTTGAACGTTCAGCAGGACCATCCAGTCACAAGAGTCATCTGAATTCCTCTGATGAGGTCGTGTGGGCGGGAGGGCGGCTGGTGGCCAGGAGTTCTCTGGGGAGCCCGTGGCTCTGCTCCGACCAGGCGCAGACGCAGGCGGCCCCGCCCTCTGGGCCCCTCTGGGCCAGGCGTCTGCAGCGGGTTCCTGGCCCACCTGCACCTGCCCTGCGCTGCACCTGCCCCCGCCCGGGCCACGCATTCACTCTGGGGTCGGCCCCCTGCGGGAACAGGCAGGCGCCCTCAGGGCAAACGCTGGTTTGTCCCGGTGCCAGTGTGTTCCCTGACGGATCCGCATTTAGAAAATCTCTCCCAGCATCCGCGGGGCGGGGGTGGGGGGGGGCGCACATACTGGAGGAGGAGGAGGGAGCCCTCACTGGCCGTTCGCTGGCCACGCGGCAGCAACAGACGTACCGTGGGCAGCGAGGCGGGACCGTCGCCGGTGTCTCCCGAGGGGCTGTGGCTGCAGGTCTGTGGTGTCTGCTGCAGCCTGCTGAGGTCGGCACTCCTTCCTCTCAGCCTCATTACGGGCAGGCTTGTCCTTCCTCCTGGTAAACTCAGAACGAGCGGCGCTGACTCCCCAGCTGGGCTCCCTGCCACACTGGCCCCCGCTGGCTGGCTGCGGGGCTGTTGTCAGCGGTGCGCCGGGAAGCGTCCACGTGCAGACAGACTTCAAGGCGCTGAGCCCGGCCGGCACCTGACCTTGGCTCCTGAGACGCCCCGAGCCTGCCTGCAGTGTTTGTGTGAACCACGAGGTCCCGGGGACCCAGCTTTCCCCCTGGGGGCAGGGGGTGCTTCCGCGATCAGCCCCCAAGAACCCCTGGGCTTGGGGTGCCCGTGGGCTCCCCTGGGCAGGACCGTGGTGCCGCACCTCTGCGGCAGGGAGCACGCTCCGCGTGGCCTGGGGGTGGGAAGGGGCCCCGTCCCCTCGCCACCCCAGCTGTGCCCCTGCCCTGCCGCAGCGACAGACGCCCAGGGAGCCCCAACGCGATGATTTACAGATCGGAAACCGAGCCGATTCAGAATTCCCAGGTAGAAACTTCGTCTGGAATGCTCTTCCTCAAAGCGTTAATGGTTCAAACTGGCCGGCGCTTCATCAAGGATGTTTGCGTTTACACTGTGCGTGGACTCAGGTCCCAACTTCTTTCTCACAGGTGCTGCTTTCCTGGTAACGAGGGAGCACGTCTCCCTCGACGCACACACACCTCCCTCCGCGCCTCCAGGGTCAGGCCTGGGGGCTGCTGTGCTGGCCCGTGGGGAGCACGACACGGACAGACACACGGCACCGCAGCCACAGGGGCGCGACGGCCAGCTCGGGACACGGGGCGTCTCTGCGGTGGGGGTCCCATGGGGAAACACGTGCGTGTGCTCGAAAGAGCTCACTGGTCGTAAGACGTGTTCTGGCCTTAGAGCCCCATTGAAAAGTGCGGCTTTTAACAATGTCGGGGTTGATCCCCACATTATGGGTCCATTCAGATTATTTTCAAACCTCATCTTGAGGCAATTCTGGCAGCTTTTCTCTGCCCAAACCTGTTCATTTCTCCTTCTAAGTACGAAGGCCTGCGGCTTCCACTGCGTTGGTCCTGGTTAAGATGCACTGGCCTATTTCGCTGATGTCTTCAAATGCCTCTGAGGGGTGTTTACCTAACAATTTTACTAGCTCTGTGTCCTAATCCATTCACCTTTACTCCTTAATTCCTCTACCGTGTTCATCATAACTCAGCTTCATTTTCCGTCCTGACCTCTTCAGCTGGAAGGCCGGTCTAGCTTTCCAACGTCTGTAAACAATGAAACCGCCCTGGCCGAGCGTGCCGGTGAGCCCCGCACAGCCGCGCCCCGCACAGCCGCGCCTGCCGCCCCGCACCCCCGGGACCGCGGCCGACACGACCCGTCCCCCCGAGAGGACTCTCCAGTGTCCCAGTGCCGGCTCGTCAGCTTCGACGCTGTCCCTCCTCGCCTTAAAGGCTCGCGCTCAGCGAACACGTTACCCCAGTATCTGGAGTGACGCGCGTGGAGCCGGCGCCCCTGCCGTTTTCCCACCCTGGTCAGACGGTCGGTCCCGTAGGTGTCCCACAAGCGCGGGGACGAGCCATGCAGTCCCCGCCCACCCGCCTGCCGCGCCCCCTCGCCATGCAGGCTCACTGCGACCTCACTTCTACCCTGGGCAGCGTGTGCGAGCCTCCTGCGCTGCTCCCTCCGGTTCTTCCTGTTCTATGAAGTTTTCAGTTTGCATTTGCTGGGCCGACAGAGCAGCGCGCCGATCGAGGCTTCAGAGAGGGAGGGGCGAGCCCAGCCCCCGTGCTCCCAGAAGCCTCGGCCCCGGCGGGTCTAACAAGAGATGCCTCCGGGAGCCCCTGGGGCGGCCGCATCCCCCACCCCCAGGGCTGCGGCCACCGCGGCGGGTGGCGGCCCTCAGCCCACCGGCTCGGCGCCTGCCCTGCTGCCGCTGGCCGCCCTCGGGGTGTCCTGTGGCTCCTGAGGCTCCGCTCGCTGTGATCGCCCACCCGCTCTGCTCGGAGTGGGCTCCCTGCTCCCCCTTCCTCAGCCCCAGCCGCTCCCCCCAGGGCTCTGGCCGCAGCCTTTGTCACCCCCCAGTCACCCTCCACCACATCTAGGGTCCGGTCCCAGTGCCCAGCTGACCCGGGGCTCCCCTGCCAGGGGCGGAGGGGAAGGCCGCCCTGACTGATGTCTCCTCTCAGCCACCGCCCAACACTCTCTGCCCCCGCAAGCCGCACGCACGCTCGCCCCTCTGCGTGCCCCACTGCGCGGGCCTCACCGCACGGCGGGGCGCCACACGCCCTGCGCTGCCCTCAACGCTCTGAGCCCTGAGTTCTCTCCTCCTTCATGGCCGCCATCCCTCGGCCGCAGGGCCGCTGTTCCCAGCCCCCAGCACCCACAGCTCACGGAGACCCGCTCCTCCTGTCCCTCCCTGGCCACCCCAGCCCCTCGTGGGAGGGATCCCAGTCTGGTGGCACCCGGCACAGGGCCCGGCCCCGGGGAGGCTCTGAGGGGCGCACAAGGCCTGCAATGAGGACACCCCCCCAGGACCTGGGCCCCCAGTGGACGGAGGCCCTTCTACCGACGGGCTGCCCGCGACCACAGTCGGAGGGTGGGATGCAGACGGGACACAACCAGACCCAAGGCCCGCGTGGGTCTCAGACACCGGGGCGGGGGAGAGCGGGGGAGGGGAGGAGAGCGGCCCCCACCTGCCTGCCGCCTCCGCCCCTCACCTGCAGCAGCACCCGGAGAGCTTGTCTTCCTCTGAGAAGGCATCCTCCTCAGGAAAGGAGCCGGTTCCCATGGAAATGACGCCGAGCGCCACGTGACAGGTCACTACGCTGCCCCAGCTGGGCCCTCGCAAGCCCCGCCCCGAACGCTCCCCCGCCAGCCAGCGGCGAGCTCCAGGCCGCGGCCACGCGCGGCTTCCGGGGGCAGGGCCATTCTCCTGAAGCGTCACAGCCGCAGACGCAGCTCGCAATGCTCACCCGGACACCCACGCTCTTCACGTAACTTCTGTTTTCTAACTTCCCCTCCCAGTTAGCGCAGCGCTGCAGCGCGCGGTGGCGTTGCCGCCCGCTCTCCCTCCAGCCCGACGGCACCTTGTTTCGGGGAGAAGCAGCCTCCGGCCCCGCCCTGGCCCTGCGCAGGGCTGGCAGGCCCCAGGCTCTGGCCCCGGGCCCCTGGGCCGGGCTGACCCCTGCCGTCGCCACCCTCAAGCCCGAGCAGCAGCGCTGACCAGGCCAACAGATGTCACACCAGGGTGGCGTCTGCAGCCCAACAGCAACACACTGGGCCTCTTAAACTCGCGAGGAGACACGGCTGCGCCCACAGCCCTTGGCGGGACTTGGCCGGCCCCGCACCCCGCGCGCTGCCCAGGGCCTGCGCGCTGCACCCCGGGCCCCGCCCCCAGCCTGTCCCTCACCTGGGCAAGGAGCGGCTCGGGGAGGCAGGGCGAGCGTGGCGACGGACCCCAGCCGCCAGGGGCAGGCTCGGCTCCCGGTCCCCAGCCGGCGTTCCCTTCGCTGCACCGGGCGGAAGGGCAGCCCTCCCAGCACCTCGGCTCCCGGGGGCGATCCCCACAGGGCACCGGGCCACCATGCACAGGCGCCCGGGGGCGGGTGGGGGGGGCTCAGCCCACGCACAGTCCCTGGGTGGGCACAGGGCCTGGTGAAGGGGTGCGGGTGTGCTCCCGCCACGTGGCTGAGGACACTGGGGCCCAGAGAGGCTGAGTCTCACGCCCCAAATCACACAGCTAACACGCGGCCAGGCCCGGGCCCAGCCGGTCCCCTAACACCTCACAGCCCGCTGCCACCCCTGCCGAGGACATACCCGGTGTCTCTGGGAGGTGTCCCTGGAGCAGCGGGGCTCACAGGCGGCCCCGGATCGGCTGCCTCCCCTGACCTGCTCTCCAGCAGTGGGGTTGGGGGTCCAGCCCCCCATCCCTGGCATCACAAAGCCCTTCCCAAATCACCCTGCAAGCTGAGGTGTGATGAGCCCTCTCCACACAGAGGATGAAATGCAGGTCTTTTGAAAAGCACTCACTTACCTGAAAATCTCGTTCTTCTAGTATCTGTTTCCTCCATCTCACGAGAAAAGCAGCGCAGACGTACAGGTGGAAATGAGAGAAGCCCGCGGGCTCAGACTGCGGGAGAGAAGACGGGAGAGGCGTTGGTGTGCGGACGGCAGCCTGTCCGCCGGCGTGGTCGCCGCGGGGCTCCACCGGGCCGGCCGGCCGGCCACGCTGCCGGGCGCTGGGACGTCCACGCCCGCCCCCATCTCACCAGGGTGCGCAGGCCCTCTCCTGAAGGGCGCGCCGCCCGGGACGCGGGGCACGGAGAGCGGCCCCACCGTCGGCAGCCTCGCAGCCGCAGCTGCTCTCTCCTCCCTCCCACGCAGACGGCAGCCCGCGGAAACGGGGGCAGGGCCGGCTGGCGGAGGCCCATCACAGGCCACGGCCCACGGGCGCCGGCCCCACACCCAGGGCTGCGCCCTTCTGGCCGACTGCGGCCCTGAAACCCTGGCGGACGCGCTGGGCAAACACCACCAGCTCTGCCGTGGCCGCTGAGCCTCTGGACCGGCCGTCGCTCTGCCGTCTGGTCTGGGAGTCTCTCTCCCTCTGCAGCGTGCTTTCCATAAGCGCCGCGGCACCCGTGGTGCGTCGGGGGCAGGAGGGCCTTCTGGACGCCACGTGCACCGCCCTGCCAGAGCGGGAGCCTCAGGCCTGTTCCCGTTCTTTAAATCAACTCCCTCTTTAAGGGGTAAGCGGATTCCCACTGTCGCTGTGTAGTACAGACTTGATGTGCTGGAGACAGTTTTGCTAATTCCCATTAACAACAGACAGAAGCATCAGTGAGTAAAATCTTTGTGTTGGAAGTATATCAGCTAACAATTCAAACTCAGCGAGGTGCCACTAAGGCCCCTGGGACACCCACTCTGCACGCGGGACCCCCAGCCGGCGCCCACACTGTATCCCCCTCGCCCGATCACACCGGCCCCCCCAGCCGGCTCTCACACCGGCCAGGACCCAGTATTAGGTGGACTCCTACTGTGACGCTGCTATTCAAAGATGGCCATCGCCTTCAGGACAATGTCCAGGCTCCTTGAGTAACACGCAACCCGCTGAAGCCAGGCCCTGCCCCACCTCCCTCCTGATGACCTCGGACCCCTCCGCTGGCCCCAAAGCCAGACCCTCTCAGCCGCACCTCTGCTTTCCCGCCGCAGGGACTCTCCTGGGCCCGAGCAACCCCAGCCGCCCCTCAAGGCCCTCCCGCCGCCTCCTCCCGGGAGCCCGGCTGGTCCCTCAGCCTCTGCCACGCTGTCCTCTCCAAGGCCCACAGTCCCTCCGCCTACCGGCCTTGGGGCCCTCCTGCCCCGGCCCCGGAGTAGGATTAGAGACAGAATGAAGTTACACACCCCAAATCCATTTACCCACATGCTGAATGCAAAAAAAAAAAAAAAACCCTCAAAAATATAAATTCTAAAAGTCGATACACATGACTATATAAGAATTTAAAATTGACATGTGACAGAAAAACACCACGATAGAGGTGCACATACAATCACAGACGAGCAAAAGGACCCGCGGCGCACACATGAGGGACAGCGGACTGCTGTCCAGGACACAGACACAGAGTCAAGCCCCCTCAAGGGTCTGGAAGAGACACACTTGAGGCCAAGGGCGCGGACAGGCTGAGTGGTCAGATGCACAGGAGGAGCCGCCCGCACAGACCGGGGGTCGGGGACCCGCGGGGACCCGCGGGGACCCGGAGCCCGCGTGCAACTCACCGACCGGAGTGCGCAGGGAGGCGGGGCTGCTGCGGGAAGAGGGCAGCCACCCGCGGCCCGGAAGCTCCCCCCGCCCCCCGTCAGAGCGTCTCCACAGCGGGTGGGAGAGTGGCCGTGGGAGCGCTGGATGTCACTTCAAAAAACTGACAACTTAGACGTCTGTCTGCGGGAGAGTGGACACATCCTCGCGTACTCATCCAATGCAACACTACGAAGTGGGAAACAAATGAAACGCAGCCAGACCCGTAATGTCAACGCGCATAAATGTTAAGAACGTGAAAAGCGCGTTGCGGAAGAACGTGCGAGTGGGGCGCCGTTTACAGGGAGGTCAGGCGGGCTGGGACGGCACCTCGGCCACGCACCCCCTGTGGGGTGGGAACCACGACGCGGGTCAGACGCAGGTGCGGCGGGAACGCATCATGGGTCGGACGCGGCGGAGCCCCCCAGCGGGGCAGGAACGCATCACAGCCTGACGCAGTGGAGCCCGCCTCGGGAGGAGGGAGGCGGCCGCTCCAACGAGGGGAGTGGAACTCCGTCTCCACGTGAGACGGAAAAAGGGCTGCGGCAACGTGAGGAAGGAGTCAGGGTCGGTGAGGCCGGCACAGGCGTTCGCTGGCTGCTCCTCTCTGCATAGTGAGGACTTGTCACAGTTAAAACAGAGACCGAGGGCTAACTCGGAACGGCCTTCCCGAGAGTCAGCGAGAGGCCTTTCCACTCGAGGGGCCATGGCGGCCTGTGGCCACCCGATCAGCAATCAGATGCCGCGCCCCCCGCTGCGCCCCAGCCTGGGGCTTGGCTCTTCCCCTCCCCAACCCCCAGGGCCCTGCTCAGCACCTCCTCTGGGTCCGCCCCACCCTCCGCCCACCTGGCTGCTGGCCCCTTGGAGCCCGAGAGGCTGCAGGGTGAGTGGCCGGTCCTGGAGCGCTGCCCCAGCCCCCCGCCACCCCCCACCATTATGGGGGCGGCCGCAGGGAATGGCAGATGCCCCGCAACACAAGGGGTTTTCTTAAAGCTGCATTTCAGGCCCTGCAGTGGAGCTACTTTTGCTTATAACGTGAAAAAATTAAAGTTCAAAACGACTACAGAGCAACTAAATGCAAATTACTTACATGTGACATACACTTTTTAAAATGTAGGGAACAAGGCAAAGGAACAGTTTTCCTTCTACTTTTTCTAATAGAGAAAACGTAATAAAAGGAACGATTTTTCACCTTTAATTGCATCGTTAAGCTTCTTTGTAGTTTTTGGCGCAGAAATAAAAACGAACGGCCTTCTGGCGGCAGGAGGTTTTCCTCTGCGTGTTTGTGGGGACGTATTTTTGAGGCCGTTCAAACAACAAGCACAGTTTCTCCCTCTGCTCGGATTCCAGTGCACCAGCCTCAGCTGCGCCTGCAACATCTGTGCTGGGATGTCCTTTGAAATATCCATCACCGGCCACCGCACCACATCGCCTGCCAGGATGCAGCCCGCGGGCCTCCCAAAATGCGCCCCAGGCCCATGTGTGGGCGGGAGCCACGGGCCATGGACCTCGGCTCGCCACACAGCCCGCCCTGACTCAGGCGAGCCGGTGCCCCGCAGTCTCCGTGCCGGGCTCCGCTATCGCTCGCCGGGTAGGTAGGGGCACAGGTCCGCCCACGTCTGGGGACGTTCCCAGCGGTTCCCCGACAAAGGCAGCAGCCCACCAACCCCTCCTGAGAGCCGCCGGCGTCCAGAGTGCTGGCGCGGGGAAGGGGGTGGCCACGCCTGCCCCCGGCAGAGAGACCTCCGACTGATCGAGCGTGATAAAGCTGTGGGTACCAGAGGAAAGTGCCGCAGGACAGAAAACACTGAAACACTTAGAAACTCCTAGTAAACACCTGTCCTCTGTCGATGCGTTAGGCAGGGTTCTGCAGAGAAACGGAAGGAACAGAGGATGGGAGCGCGCCGCCAGACACGGCCCGTGAGGAAGCACCCCCGCCCGCTAACGCCCTCACAGCCGCAGGGGACCGCGTGAGCCCCTCGTCCCCTCTGCCCCCAGCGCTGCTCCCGCTGGGCGGAACAGCCCTCCCTCGGACCCTGCCTGGTGGCCAGGAGAGCACCGAGCCCGCCCCAGCCTCCCGTTTGCCCGCTGACGCCCTGGCCACTTCACGGGTGGCCGGTGAGGGTGTCTTTTAGCAGCGCTTCGCAGGCAGGGCCCTGAGCGCACCCGAGGTGTCGGCCCTTCCGCTGCTCCATGTTCCCATTTCTGGCCTGCGGGGCCCTCGCTTCGGGCTCCGGCGCAACCCCCGGAGCCTAAGAGGCGCCGCGCTCGCCTGACAGCCTGACAGCCTGACCGGGAGTCACGCCTCTGGCGGGAGGAGGCGCGGAGCCCTCAGCGCTGGGTCCACCTGCCGGACCACGGCCCAGGCGCTTCAGGGGAGGGAGCTGCGAGAAACGACTTTATTTCTTGTAAAGACAAAAACAGGTTCATACAGAGTCTCAGTTCATATGTGAGATTACAGAGTTTTACTTCTTTGATTTCAGGCTTCTCTCTTTGCTTATGTTAAAAATCTTAGTTCCTCTATTACCATAATTACTTGTTTGCCTTACCCTAACACATGTACTTACGTATAATGTGTGTATTTCAGTACGTGTGCATGTAAATAACAGCTTCCACCCAGCGCTGCTGTTACGAGTTTCTACACGCTCTGCGACGCCCTCCTCGCCCGGGTGCAGGCTGCTCTCCCGTGGTCTGCACTGCACGCTCGCCGGTGCCCGGTGTGGACGGGACGCACGGGAACCCGGGAGTGTGGACATGGGGGCCTGGGATGGGGCCTGGGAGCAGCCTGGCCCCCACCCGCCCGTCCGGGCTCCCGGAGAGCACACGTGGATCTGACGCAACAATCTCACTGCACAGGCCCTTGGCCACTGTCTGCTTACCGGATGCCTCGTGCGCCGATGGGCCGGTGCCGGGGCCTCTGCCGCCGCCGCCACCTCCCCATCGGACGGCAGCTCCGTGTTCTCTTACGTCCGTGACTCGGGACATACGCACTTAACACGGCTTCGCCGCAGTAAAATCACCGTCTTCACCGAACTTGATGCAGGTCGCCTTGGTCTTTTTAAATCGGGACATCGTACCATCGCTCCTCTCCTGCTTCTGCCCCCGCGTGGCTGGGGAGGCCTCGCCAGCGTTTTGTCTCCGACCCCCCCGTGTCCCCAGAGGAAGAACGAATGAATGCTGAGGTGGGGGGGACCTTCAGGCAACGCGCGGCAGGCGTGCCTAAGGGGGCTGAAGGAACTATTCGTCCGACCTGAGAGTGTTTAAAATAGTCTTTCTGGTGTCGTGTTCTACTTTCTGGAAACACTCAATCCATGCCCCAGCGCGGACACCCTGCCGTC